TCGGCATAAGTATGAAAGGAAGAATGGACAGTTTTTGAATTATTTTGCTAATAATCAACTGTCATTTTATGAAAATACCCAGCCTACTTGTCTGCCTACCTCTTTCTTTTCATCTTTAATTTCATTTTCACGCCAAAAGTACTTTTTTGTGTGAAGTTTTACAATTAGTAATCATGATACAAAGAAATTGTTAGGCTGAACCATATACAAATTGACATTATTTTACCATTTTTGACCTACAGAATCCACAAGTTTATGTGGTTCAACTTAATACACGACAGCAGACAGTCATTAAAGCAGTTCACAGTCTGAGGCCAGAGGACAGCCTTTCATCATGATTGAGAGTCTTCTAAATATGACAGTTCCTCCATTTGAGCTTCTGCTCAGCTCTATTGGGAGTCTCTGAATAACTTTTTGTGTAGGTTTCCTGTCAAGACCTTCATTTGATCAACTGTGTACAATATTTTTTTTAACTCAATGAATTGCACACTTTCATATGGTCCAGGCACTGTTCTCAGCCTTGGATACAAAGATCAGTGAGTCAGGAGCTTGCAGTCTAGGAGGGGAGGAGAGAGACATGTGCATGATTACAGTGCAAAATAGTAACATAATAGATAGAAATAACATGCTGTAAAGGCACTGACCCTGCCTGGCTGAGCAAGAATGCCTCAGAGCAGGTGATGTTTGCACTGAGTTTTGAAGGATGAGCAATTTACTTATCAGCAAAGCAGAGGGATGATGCAACATCACCCAGAAGAATGGTTTATTCCAAGCCACAGAAGTACAGGAAGAACTTGAGTTTGAGTATAGATAGGACAAAGGTGAGAGAAGTGGCAAGGACAAGGGAGGTGAGATTTGAATGTAGGTAAGATCCTGGTTATGAAGAGCGCTTCATGTGGGGCTTAGGCATTTGCATTTTATTCTGTGGGTGGAGAGAAATCACAAAACACATTGACATGGGTTTAATTTGCTTAGAAATAAAACCGCATCATCAGTTTTATTTATATACCCAGTCCAGTTATTGCCTAAGTTTATAGAAATGTCACATTTGCTACTCTAGAGCAAGCAAGAGTTCGTTCTGACCAGTCCTGGCACATATGTGAGCCAAAGCAACCTGGATTTGCAAGGAGTTGTTTCAGCCCTGACATCTCTCTTAAACACAGTCATTGAGCTGTGGTTCCTCACTGTGGCTGAAAGCATAGCCAGAGGCTGCATTATTGTGAGATTGTGGCTTTGACAATTATGTGCTCCTCCACTGCAGGGCTCTTACTTTACATGGGTGAAGGAGCTTGCCAATACACGCTCCATGTTTTCATATTTTCTTCATTGGGTAATTGCAAAATGGGTGATTCTACCTAAATACAGTGAGATTGATTTCATTCAAACTGCCAACTGGCTAATCAGTGGCCCAGTTTTCCAGCCATGTGATCTGGCATCTGGCATTTACCATCATCATATTAAATTACATAGCACCAATAAATTACCAGCTCATGACTGGGCAAAACCCTTTTCCTTAAACTCCTTCCTGGTTAATACTTGCACAATGTTTAACAGTGCCACCGTTTATCTATACAGGGGTGTCAACAGAAATGTACCAAATTTTACCACAAATGGAGATTTATGTATGTGTAAATTATACATAGATAGGCACATACATATATATGTATATATATGAATATGTATGAATGTGTTGGTCTATTGATGTGAATTTTCCAGATGCCTAAAGCTAAGTACTAATCAAATTTTTGTTGTTGTTGTTTTATTTAAATTGAGTCTTTATGGAAATATTTCTGAAAGTGCTGGAAGTGTAAGTTCTGGAGTCAGCCCACTCTGTTCGAATCCCCGTTTTTTATCTACTAACTTTCCATCTTTGGGCAAGTAGTAATTTCTCTGAGCCTCAACTTTCTTATGTATAAAATAAGAACAATAGTTACCACCTCATAGCGTTGCTATGTGAATTAAATGGGTGTGCATATACAGCATTTGTTAGGCAGTGGACATTCAAGAAATGCTAGCAATGAATACTTCATGCAATTAGAATTGCTTCTTGAAAACTGAGGCCATCATGGTAACATTAATGATTGCAGGATAACTGACAACTGATGCCCACAGCACCTATTAAGAGCCAAAATGTTATTTGCCTCTCCATTAAATTGCCCCAGACTGCCAGGATTCTTCCCAGTCTTGTCTTGTTTTGAGTTTTTATATAGCATCCTGATATGGTTTGGCTCTGTGTCCCCACCCAAGTCTCATCTTGAATTATAATCCCCATAATCTTCATGTGTTGAGGGAGGGACCTGGTGGGAGGTGATTGGATCATGTCAGCAGTTTCCCCCATTTTGTTCTCATGATAGTAAGTGAGCTCTCATGAGATCTGATGGTTTTATAAGTGTTTGATAGTTCCTCTTTCACACACTCTCTCTCTTGCCTGCTGCCATGTAAGACGTGCCTGCTTCTCCTTCCGCCATAATTATAAGTTTCTTGAGGCCCTCTCAGCCATGCAGAACTGTGAGTCAATTAAACCTGTTTTCTTTATAGATTACCCAGTTTGAGGGAATTTTTTAATAGTAGTGTGAGAATGAACTAATACATATCTCTTGCTATTAGACTATTGGTTATCACATTCTGAAATCACTAATATCTAGGAACCTAACCATATTCTTCCTCCTTTACTGTTTTACTGACAAATTAAATAATCCAACTTGATAAAATTCTATCTAAAGCAGGTTAAAAGCTCTGATTGAACACCCAAGTCTGTGCTTCAGTGACTATGTACTGGCTATTTTAGCAACTCAAAGATCTTGTCTGCGGATTCCAAGATTATCAGCTATGTCTGTGATAGATGATGCTGCCGTAAGAGACCTCCAGAAAAGTGAGAGGATATTCTCAATATTTCATGTTCGTGTTTGAGTGACACAGGTCTACAGAGGCCCTGTGTATCTTCAGAGGTTCAAAAGGGAAATAATAGTATCATCTCTTTTAAAAAACCAAATATAACATATAAATAAAAAATATCTATGGCAAAGTTTTTTTTTCTTTAAGTAAACTGTAGTCCCTGTAAGCCAGACATGGTGGCTTATACCTGTAATCCCAACACTTGAGGAAGCCAAAGCAGGAGAATAACTTGAGGCCAGGAGTTCAAGACCAGCCTGGGCAACATAACGAGACCCCATCTCTAAAAAAATTTTTTTTTAAATTAGCCAGGCACAATGGCATGCACTTACAGTCCTAGCTACTCAGGAAACTGAGGCAGGAGAATCTCTTGACCTAGGAATTCAAGGATACAGTGAGCTATGATCATGCCACCATACTTCAGCCTGGGCAACAGAGCAAGACCCTATTTCTAGAAGAAAAAAAAATTGTAAGAGAATATACTGACTCGGCTTATCTAGAACAAAGATCTCATCACCATAATTTAAATAGTACTTACTACATTTCTTGATGTTTTTTTCCTGATTTTTAAACAAGTAAATCCTCATGGGCCTTACCCTATTACTGTCTGTGAAAACACTGTATAGGAGAGACTAGAACTGTCGTATTGTCATCCCTGTGAATGGAGCCCCCCTGAAGTTGTACAATGAAGCATTCCCAAGCGATATTGCCATTATAATCATTTTCCATATTTTGGTTTTTTAGAGAGTTTTTGGTGTTTTAGTGGCCAGATCATCTCAGTGTCCAACATAACTATATTCACCTCCCACTTATTCTCCTTACTGCAAATACTTATTAGCCATCATCCATCCAAATTTTGAGAATATTTTCTCCAGAAAACAATCCATGTGCTTTTTTTCATAATTTCAAATATGAAAATAAAAAGCTGTTCTAAAAGACTGCCATGGGGTCAGTCTTACTCTCAGGACTGAGAGTTCCTTAAGGACAAGGTTGTGAAATTTTAAAATTCTCCTGCTCAGTGTCAGAACAGTGCTCAGGAAATATATGAGGAAGAAAGAACCATGGGATGGGAAAAGGGGTGGAGAGAAACTGAAGAAGGATGCCTTGGTCAGTTTGGACTGCTATAGCAAAATATCATAGACTGGGTGGCTTATAAACAGAAATTTATTTCTCACAGTTCTGGGATCTGGGAAGTGCAAGATCAACGCACTGCCAGATCCAGTGTCTGGTAAGAGCCTGTTTTCTCATAGATGGCACCTTCTGTCTGTGTCCTTACATGGTGGGAAAGACCAACAAGCTTCCTTGGGACTGTTTTTGTTTGTGTGTTTGTTTTTTTTTTTTTTTTTTTTT